CTTTAACGAATATAGCGAGTATAACAATGTCAATCTACCAGAGACTTGTTCGCGTGAGTGACGTCACCGTCTCCAAGGAAATCATCAAAATAAACTTCCTCTGTCTGCTCAGACTTGGCTTTGGACACGATGGAATTTGTCATTTCATGTTCTGCCGCTTCCTTCAGTAGAGTGTACACAGGTTCCATCACCTGCAGGAAGCGGATGAATAAAGATCAGAAACTATTGAGATGCGGCTTCAAAAGGTCTAAATAGTACAAATCAATAGTTAAACGTGGATACATTGAATTTTTAAATCTTTTAAATTTATACAAACATGAATGCCAATAAAAAAAACAAAAAAAAAACTTAATTTTGTTTCTTCATTTAAAACTTAAATACATCACCGAATTGTGACTAAAACTATTCAATATAATAACACAGTTGATGGACGTGATACTTTTAAAGTTATCACTCACCGGAACTGGAAATGGTCTTTTCCGATGAGCTGTTTCCAGGATGGCTAGAGTTCGTGAAACGAACCAATAGAATTCTATCTGCGATGGATAATAGGTCAAGGCCAAGTCGGGTCGGTCTGAGAAGTTGGTTTTGATTTCAAATGCCAGAAGCGATGACGTGTTGAGATATATTTGCTGAATGTTCAAATATATATATATATACCGGTATAAAAAAGTTTATTAAAAAAATTATATTTACAAAGATTCAGCTCTTTCAACATGTTAGCGAGTTCTTTATTTTTAAGTTTTCAAAAGTGAATATTCACATTTGTGTGTGTCGTCCTCTTAAAGCTTAGCTCTGACTGAACCGAAGTAACTTATTGATAGATGGAGAATATGGTTGGTCATTTCTAAGACCTGCAAACATCACATGCCGTTATGTTAGTATTTTCTGATAATGTTTTCATAAAACATAACTTTTAACAATGTATTTTCGTATATAAATGTTATATATATATATATATATATATATATCGTTTGTATGAATTCGTTTGTATGAATAAGGAGCAGTCCATTTAGGGCGAAGGGGTGAGTGGGTAATAGAAAGTGTTATTTGGATGAATATCGTTTGGATGAATAAGGAGCAGTCCATTTAGGGCGAAGGGCTGAGTGGGTAATAGAAAGTGTGAAAGTTAGTGACACGAAGGGGGTTGGGGGGGGGGGTAAAAATTTGATTTATTAGATTAATTAATTATCTAATGATGAGAAAAAGATACATTAATGAAACAAAGAAATGAGAATACGATAATTACTTTAACACGTGTGCCGTCAGGAAAGAAGACAATACTATACTCAAAATCATTACTACATAAACACTACATTAATACTACATCAATACAACATTAAAACTACATTAATACAACATTAGTACAACATTAAAACTACATTAATACAACATTAGTACAACATTAAAACTACATTAATACAACATTAGTACAACATTAAAACTACATTAATACAACATTAGTACAACATTAAAACTATATTAATGAATCTAAACCCACCGCAAGAACTGGGTCGTTCAGAATTTGAGGGTTGACAAGTCCAGAAAGGACAGCTGACGTCATCCCAAAGATTGTATTGGCGGACACGGTGACGTCAACGTTGTTGAGCTGGAAGGGCATGGCCACGCCCAGATAGAAGTCGGTGCGCAGCTCGTCAATTGTTTGAATCTGGGAGACAAAATAGAGGTCGAACAAGTAACAGTAACATGGCGAGGGATAGAGTTGATGGGGGACTATTATCCCCAGGTCGGCATTACTACTCATGCCTGTACTACTTACCTATGGATGTTCTAATGACCTGTTTCTGCACTACTTACCCATGTTTATACTACTTACCCAAATCGGTACAACTTCACCATGTCGGTACTACTTAACTATGCCGGTACCACGTCGTCATGTCGTTACTATGTAACCATGCAGTTACAACATAGCCATGTTGGTGCTACTTACCCACGTCGGTACTAATGCAATATCCCTTCCTTGAGACTTAGCTTGGTCCAGGAATGAACGCATATAGAAGTAAGTCCTGGGATCAATAGTGTTTAAATTTGGGTCGTCTGAAAATGGTCTGTAGGCGTATTTCTTCAGGGCATCGAACACTGCCAGGAAGAAATTATAAATTGGTTTTGACAACAGTTAACTGTTTAAAACTATGCATAATATAATATGCTATAACCATACCTTAAGTATTTTCCCTATAAACTATACCTGATATATTGTCCCTATCAACTATACCTGAGGCATGGTCCTTATAACTATACTTTAAGTTATGTAATAATAATTATAGATGTTATGCCTCTATCACTATACTTGATGCAATATCCCTACATAATATACCCATTGTAATGTTCTTCTTAAATATACAGGATGTAATGTCCTTATAAACCATACCTGGTGTCATTTTTCTACAAACTATACCTTATGTAATATTCCTCTAACTATACCTGACGTAAGGTTTCTGTTTTGATTATTCCATAAGCCCCAAGCAGACGGGAACGTTTCTCTCAGCTGGTAGAGTATGGAGCCAAGGCCAAGGTTGACGAAAGTGTCATCGAAGTCTGGAGGAATGTGAAATGCCTGCAGGAACATCGCCCTGTGCGTTGGCAGTAAAATACAAAATAGTTCACTCATACTTTTATCGATCATCAAGTCCCTCAAAACCCTAATCAGTAAGAAGGCGAACAATCGGTAATAAAAAAAACAAAAAAACAAACCAACACAACAAAAAAACAAAAAAAGAAATAGTTAGCCACAATCCCAGTTCTTTCAACTGTATGGTGAAACTTAATATTACATTTTTTTTTCGCTGAATGAAATAGGACTAAACAATATACTAATAGTACCAATAGTACTTTCATCAAACGAAATATCAAGTTGAATAATTTGAATAAAGCAACTATTTCTAAAGCACATTTAACCAGAGCATGTACTTAAAGCACACCTTACCAGAACACCTATTTAAAGTATATGTTACTAGAACACCTACTTGAAGCACATATTACCAGAACACCTACTTGTCTTTCATCAGGAAGTCGATCTCATCCACTAAGTTACTCAATCCAATCAACTTTAAGAAAGCTTCTATCAGTGGTAATGGCACCTCATCCATCATCCCAAAGGCATTCTAGCAGAAGATGAAACGAACTGAGATGTGTTTAAACTTGTAACTTGATGCAACTTACCGAAATGTACACCAGTGCTCTAACGCCACCTTGCTATAGTGCCTTCTGTGTTATAGTGCCCTCTGTTTTATAGTGCCTTCTGTGTTATAGTGCCCTCTGTTTTATAGTGCCTTCTGTGTTATAGTGCCCTCTGTTTTATAGTGCCTTCTGTGTTATAGTGCCCTCTGTTTTATAGTGCCTTCTGTGTCATAGTGCCCTCTGTTTTATAGTGACTTCTGTGTTATAGTGCCCTCTGTTTTATAGTGACTTCTGTGTTATAGTGCCCTCTGTTTTATAGTGACTTCTGTGTTATAGTGCCCTCTGTTTTATAGTGACTTCTGTGTTATAGCGCCCTCTGTTTTATAGTGACTTCTGTGTTATAGTGCCCTTTGTTTTATAGTGACTTCTGTGTTATAGTGCCCTCTGTTTTATAGTGACTTCTATGTTATAGTGCCCTCTGTTTTATAGTGACTTCTGTGTTATAGTGCCCTCTGTTTTATAGTGACTTCTGTGTTATAGTGCCCTCTGTTTTATAGTGACTTCTGTGTTATAGTGCCCTCTGTTTTATAGTGACTTCTGTGTTATAGTTTTATAGTGACTTCTGTGTTATAGTGCCCTCTGTTTTATAGTGACTTCTGTGTTATAGTGCCCTCTGTTTTATAGTGACTTCTGTGTTATAGTGCCCTCTGTTTTATAGTGACTTCTGTGTTATAGCGCCCTCTGTTTTATAGTGACTTCTGTGTTATAGTGCCCTCTGTTTTATAGTGACTTCTGTGTTATAGTGCCCTCTGTTTTATAGTGACTTTTGTGTTATAGCGCCCTCTGTTTTAAAGTGACGTCTATGCTCTAATGCCCCCTATGTTTTGGTACCACTGGTGTTATTACCGTGTTTAAGCTCTATCTTCAGAAGACAGAGAAAAAGATGGGAAGACAACATCAAAGAGTGGACCGGACTAAAACTAGGCGATGCTGTGCGAAGTGCAGAAAACAGAGAGGAATGAAGGATAATTTTCATGTCATCTGTGGCGCCCCAAAACAGAGAGGAATGAAGGATAATTTTCATGTCATCTGTGGCGCCCCAAAACAGAGAGGAATGAAGGATAATGTTCATGTCATCTGTGGCGCCCCAACGGTTCAAGGACTAAAGGACATGAGGATGATGACGAGAAGGTGTTTTAGCTCTCTTCTGACATACAACAATTCACTATCAATAAGACATACAGCAATTCACTATCAATAAGACATACAACAATTAACTATCAATAAGACATATTGTGTGTTTATTTCATTTACTAGTTTACACACAATGATTTTTAATTAAAAAACGATTTGTAGGTCAATTTTTTTTGTCTCTTTAACTAATTGTAAAATTAACCATACAATTTTGATAAATGGATTATTGAATGACGACCGCTAAATGTGTTTAAATTGATTCTCTTGCGGGTGAACGAAGGAAAAGTGTTTTTGTTTCTCAATATTAAAATGTAGTCGGTTAGGAATGTTATCCGAGAAATGGCAAAGGATGAACTGTACTGGTAGACTCCAACAAGCAAAATAATGCCAGTCCAACTAATTAACTACTTGAGAAAACATGTGTACACGGCCTGTACACTAGGGACATGGAAACATTGGTACACAGCCCGTACATGGACATGGACACATTGGTACACAGCCCGTACATTAGAGACATGTAAACATTGGTACACAGCCCGTACATTAGAGACATGGAAACATTGGTACACAGCCCGTACATTAGAGACATGGGCACATTGGTACACAGCCCGTACATTAGAGACAAGGAAATTTGGTACACAGCCCGTACATGGAAACATTAAGATAATACTGACCACTAGATTATCTGGTGCACAGCTCCAGTACTTGAGTGTGTCGTTGTAGACCTGTGGCCAGAATGACATCGTTGACGTGTTGTAAGGCTTGTTCTTGTCGTGGTAATTAGCGAAAGCCTGTGTCATTCGTACAACGTAAATGAAATTTTAATTTTTTGAAAATATAATTTACAATGAACGGTATTTTAATTAGAAATATTTTTATATCTGGATCCCATCGCTAATTAAATCACCTCACCGCCTTTGAAACTGGGAAGTAATTCGTTTCCCTTCAAATCCGTATCTGGTTAACAGGCCATATATGAATTAGTATTCACTGAGAACGGATGGCTTATTTGACTTAAGGATGTGGAGCGTTTTCCTCCTCCTTCGTAATATTTTTGTTAAAGTTAAACTGTAAAATATCGTAACATTTTGCCGTCATTTCAGATAGAAGACAGACTGTCAGATAGAAGACAGACGGTCAGGTAGAAGACACACTTCTTCATTACTAGCCCTTTCGTAGCTTCACGCCGGTGTCATTAGTGTTGGGTTGGCTTAAGCACAAAACAAGAATCTCTTCAATATTTTTTTTTATTATATGATATTTTAATATCACTGTATACAATATATACCATTGATATTCAAGATCAAGTGACACCGTTTCAATCTTAAAATTTGCTGATGATACCACCATCATTGGCTTAATATCTGAAGGAGAAGGATCATGCGGCAACTTAGTTACAAGCTTTATCAATCGGTGCGATGAAAATTTTCTCCAGCTGAATGTCTCGAAAACAAAGGAAATGGTTGTTGATTTTAGGAGGGAAAACATCAGATTACAGATCTCAACATTAAAAAATCAAAGTGTAGAGAAAGTAGAGCAAGTAGAGGCATATAAGTACTTAAATGTCCCCATTACAAATAAGCTATCATGGAGTGAGCACGGCCAAAAGCTGTATAAGAAATTCAACCAAAGACTGTTCTACGTCAAAAAAACTATACAATTTCGGTGTAAACAAATAAGTCGTTAACTTATTCTACAGCGCAACATTCAACGTCTGATATTAAATACCGCATAAACCGACTAATCAAGAAAGCTAGGAGCATAACACAAACTAAACATCCTTCACTGGAAGAACTATTTGAAGAAAGATATTATTGTCAAACTAAACACATTTTCCATGATACATCCCTCCCTCTTCATCACAGATACTTGGGATCGGGCAGTTCGGGAGGAGTTATTTCCATCAGTGCAAGGACTGAAAGATATAAACATTCTGTTGTTCCCCAATCTGTACGAATTTAACGGCTTGCTCCCTCTGAAGTCACAAATCTTAATGAGAACTAGTAAGTCCCTGATACGCATAAGAGAATTCACTGAATGGCTGGTTTTTTTTTTACTTGTGAAATAATTTATTTTAAAGGTCTTGTGTTCAAATTGTTTTATTTATGTGCTGAAAATGTACAATGCAATCAAAAAACATTTCAATTTGTTTGTATCAATAAAAGAATCGTATCTTATCCTATCTATCTTATTAAGTGGTTTTTATATTTTATATTCCTTGATATCAGTATTGACATTTTCTTTTTTTATTACAAAAATTGTTTTGCCGTTTTTGGGACACATATTCTTGTTACTTGTTACAAGCGGATGTGCATTTTTCTAAGGGCTGCATGCAACACGGTGTATGCTTTTGTGGGACAGTGCAGGCAGTTTAAAATAAAAACTTTAAAAAAAAATTAACTTTCTTTAGTGATGGCACTGTCCAAATTAACTGTGGTAAAAGATTCGTAACTTCATTCATAAAATTATGCTTTTGTTTCCTTGCTTTTCATCTTGAAAAAAATGTAAAGATCGCTTAAACTACAAAACATTCATGTAGCACAAAGAGATGGAGCTATTGATGATTGGGTGTAATTCTGACTAAGAAAAGTCTAATTTTTCATTAAAAAATACCCCACCCAGTTCAAGTTGTGGAATTACACCAGCTCTGTACTTACGTGTAGGGCAAGTAGAATCTAATGTCTGAACGTTCTCGGGGTTATCTCTGTACTTACATTTTCTAATTTTTCATTAAAAAATACCCCACCCAGTTCAAGTTGTGGAATTACACCAGCTCTGTACTTACGTGTAGGGCAAGTAGAATCTAATGTCTGAACGTTCTCGGGGTTATCTCTGTACTTACATTTATTTCAAGTAGAAGCTGATTGTCTGAAGGTTTAGGGGCTATCACTGTACTTACATTTATGTAAAGTAGAAGCTGATTGTCTGGAGGTTTTGGGCACTATCTTTGTACTTACATTTATGGCAAGTAGAATCTAGTTGTCTGAAAGTTTGGGAGCTAGCTCTGTACTTACATTTATGGTAAGTAGAATCTGATTGTCTGAAGGTTTGGGAGCTAGCTCTGTACTTACATTTATGGTAAGTAGAATCTAATTGTCTGAAGGTTTGGGAGCTAGCTCTGTACTTACATTTATGGTAAGTAGAAGCTGATTGTCTGAATGTTTGGGAGCTAGCTCTGTACTTACATTTATGGCAAGTAGAAGCTGATTGTCTGAAGGATTGGGGGCTAGCTCTGTACTTACATTTATGGCAAGTAGAAGCTGATTGTCTGAAGGTTTTGGGGCAGCTCCGTACTGAACGGCCTCCAGGAGAGTCGATGTGACCCAGGCCGTGGCAAACATGTTGTTGTCGAAGACGTCCAGCAGACGGCGTGCTTCGGCCATATCCAGCGGACCGTGAAAATTGAGCTTCACGCCACTCCTGTAAACACCTTTGGCGCGTCCCCATTGTTTGAATGGAATGTACGGAACATCCTCCGATACCTGTTGGAGATGTTTATTTTTTTTAAAAGAACCAATGTTCATTAAAATAAGTAATGGGAAATGTCAACAGCGGAATTAATAATAGCAAAGGACCCTTACCGCATAAAAGCCACGCCCAGAACTCTCGAAACGTGTTTATTGTGGAGATCCCATTGCTCCTTAGTTAGTTACGCCATCATAAACTTGAGTCAGAATTTAGATTGAACTTTTTGAAGGTGTAATATGAAAATGATATAACTACCCATTTCTTAATTTTATAATCCTAAAAAGACGAACGGTGTATTTTAAATTCCGCTATACTAATGATGGATGATTGAAAACATTAACTACTTGTTCCTGTGACGTCAGCTGGAAGAGTTTATCAACGAAATCAATGGCGACTCCAGGTTGGATCTTGATCAGACCACATATACAAATCAGCACAAGGACGTGGCGCCTTGTTACCATTCTATTTCTTTACTGAACCTGTTCAAATGAAAGTGCAAGTTTTAGATGACAAAAGATTAAAGATTAAAGTATACAGGATTTAGTTTTTGATTAAAAAATATATAAAAGCAATTTTATTATCACAGTCCATCCCATCTCGAGAAGAAAAACTAATCTTTGTATTTGTATTGCATGGAGAAAACTCTAGGTGTGGAAATCTATGTGTCTACCAGTTGAAATCAATATGTGCACCAGTTGAAATCTATGTGTCTATCAGTTGAAATCTATGTTTCTACCAGTTGAAATCTATATGTCTACCAGTTGAAATCTACGTGTCTACCAGTTAAAATCTATGTATCTACCAGTTGAAATCTATGTGTCTACCAGTTGAAATCTACTTTTCTATCAGTTGAAATCTATCTGTCAACCATTTGAAATCTATATGTCTACCAGTTGAAATATATGTGTCTATCAGGTGAAATCTATGTGTCTACCAGTTGAAATATATGTGTCTATCAGGTGAACGCCCATTTAATATCAATCGCTATTGGATGCGATCTCAATGAGTCGTCACTCTTATGCGTACCCACACCGATAAGCACTTAACGTCCACTCAACCTTATGCCCTAAATCCCCACTTAACACTACGCCCTAAACCTCCACTTAAGCTTACGCCCTTAATCTCCACTCAAGCCAACGCCCTAAAACTCCACTCAACCTAACGCCCTTAACCTCCACTCAAACCAACGCCCTTAACCTATACTCAACCCAACGCACTTAACCTATGCTTAACCCTACGCCCTAAACATCCACTTAACCCACGCCCTTAGCCTATACTCAACCCAACGCACTTAACCTATACTCAACCCAACGCCCTTAACTTCCACTCAATCCTATACCCTAAAACTCCACTCAACCATACGCCCTTAACCTTCACTCAACCTTACGCCCTTAACCTCCACTCAACCCAACGCCCTTAACATTCACTCAACCTTACGCCCTTAACCTCCACTCAACCGAACGCCCTTAATCTCTACTCAACCCTACGCCCTTAACCTCCACTCAAAACCACGCTCTAAACCTCTACTCAACAAAACGCCCCTTACCTCAATTTAACACTACGCTCTAAACCTCCACTCAAACGAACGCCCTTAACCTCCACTCAACACCACACCCTAAACCTCCACTTGACGGGTGGAATGTTACGCCAGGAAACGATACATGCTTAAGACGATCACCACTGATAAATTTCAAATGGAACAGGTGGAATAGGACATATAAAGAATAACATTGAGATAGAGAGGCTACGTGGTGGCAATGACAGCATTCAAAAGGATTTGTATTTCATGTCTAGGAATGACGAGACAAAAAAAAAGTTATCTTACATTGCCACCTACGATCATTTTATGCAATAAAGAAAAATTCGTAGTTTCACACTATAGCTCAAAATATGTAATAATAGCCAATCCATCATATTTATAATATACTACCAGAGCAGTTCTTAGGATTTTTGGGGCTCTTGGCCTGGAGCGTAGTTAAGGGGCTCTGGAAGGGGGAGGGGTCCGGAGTCCCCCCCCCCGAGCTGAGGAAAAGCTGAAAAACTGAAAAAACGCACGGCGGGACCCCCTTGCCAGGGGGCCCTAGGTGGTCGCCTAGTTTGCCTATGCCTAAGAATGGCTTTGATACTACAGAACTGAGAGCGGCTTTGATACTACAGAACTGAGAACGGCTTTGATACTACAGAACTGAGAACGGCTTTGATACTACAGAATTAAGAACGGCTTTCATACTACAGACCAAAGGATACTCGAGAAAACGTACCTTCAAATGCTCAGTAGATCCAGATGTTCAGTAGATCCAAATGTTCAGTAGATTCAGATGTTCAGTAGATTCGGATGTTCAGTAGATTCAAATGTTCAGTTGATTAGGATGTTCAGTAGATTCAAATGTACAGTAGATTCAGATGTTTAGTAGATCCAAATGTTCAGTAGATTCAAATGTTCAGTAGATTCAGATGGTGGTTAAGTTTTACTTAAATGTTACAGGCCACACAACGTGCGTGTCTTTGCTGGGTCATTCCAAAGTGTTTATCTCTCTCTCTCCCTCTCTCCCCCGGTCTCTCTCTCTCTCTCTCTCTCTCTATTTGTGTGTGTTGGGTGAATGCTATATTGAATAAGGTATTTATCTGCCGTGCTGAGCCAACGTGACCTAACTCTGCATATTTCAATTTCCTATTTCTATTTGCCTGACTCAATCAATCGATGCAGGTCAAGGTGTTTAAAACAAAAACAACAACAGTCGACTACATTCTACTACCGTTTAACAAAGTCTCGACCTGAATACTCTGGGGGTGGGGGTGGGGGTGGTAGGAGGGAGGGGTATACGTTTACTTTGGATATAAAATTCAATTACCTTGTTCTTGCACAAACATGGTATTTATGATGAGATGTCGCGGTATTTGTCCTAGATAGAAACACAACAAAGCATTACTAGCTCGCTGTGTTATCTAATCGCCTGAAGTTGGTGTGATTGAAAAGATAAGTGTCTATGCTGGTTAACAAATGCTAAGAACGCCAGGAAAGAAAAAGACACAAATAAGGAGAATAAAGCGCTGCACGAGCATACGTGAATTTAAGGAGCTCTTGAAAGATACACGTCAGTGATGAGGCTTCTTTAGCTACCCGTGTCGCGATCCGCAGTGATTGGTTTCCTGTATCAAATTCTTCAACAAACACACACGTTTTCCTCAGATGGAACTGAAATCAAGTACTTTTCACAAAAAGCAATGTAGACTTTAATCCAGAAACACACACACGCACACACATATATGTATATTATATATATATAATATATATATACATATATATTAATGATTCGAACTCCAGAATTATGAGAAATTTAACATGTACCCCAACTCTTTAAGTTTTTACACGCACCCCACAATTCAAAATTTACATGTACCCCACTATTCAAGTTTTACATGTACCCCACTATTCAAGCTTTACATGCACCCCACTATTCAAGTTTTAAATAAGCCCCACTACTTTTGTTTGTTTTCATGCTGACTTGGTGACGCTGTAAATTGTCTTCCACATCCTCCGATCCCCTGTTCTAAATAATGTTATCGGGTGATGAAAGTTCTAGAAATTCTCTAATGGAGAGTTCGAATTTCCTCCCTATAAATAAGCCGGCAGCCGCCCCTGCCGAGGGAGATGTTTTCGCTAGATGTCTTAGACACAGTGGCGTAGCTAGGGTTGGTGTCACTTAGTGCGGTAAACTCATGGGGTCATCCCCCCCCCTTTTTTTCCCACGACTTCCAAAAGGGATTTATTCTTGTTTTAAAAAAATCCAAAATGCAACAATGAAAAGAACAAAAACAAATTGATTGAAGGCCAGGAGGTAAATTTATTTAAGAACTGTAACATTGTTAGGTTATAGTTATATTTACATTAAATTTACTTTATTAAAAATTGTCCTTTCATTGTCTTCAAAGCTGATAACCTGTCAATCACTTGACCAAAATCGATATCCTTCACCGTATCACATTCAATTGACAGTAGCGCCAGATCAGAAAGCCTTGACTATCTCATGGTGGAAAGTAAATAGATCTCGATAAGACTTAGTTTTTAAAAGCTTCGCTCACAAGAAGCTATAGACACACAGATTGTAAAAAAAACTATTCAAAGCTTAGCGACAGTATTGGATTATATTCAAAACATCAAATACTGACAATTCCATGAATTTGTGAAATTCAATGTCAGCTGTCTTTAGCGTCTTCTAGGTATTGGTACTTATGTTCATCCCAGTCTCATTTTCTGTCTCGGGTTGATCCTGTAGTATAGGCAAAAACGTGCCAAAGTCTATGTCGTTTTTATAGCCATTTTAATGTTTAAGCTACTCTTTCAATAGTCATTTTTAACATAGTTGTTACTATTCTAGTATCTCTGGTTTTTTCTTTTTATTTTACTTTAGCAGTTTAAATAGTTTACATGTTTTTAATAATTGTAAAGCGCTTAGAGCTGTAAGGTCAGCGCTATACAAAAATGCCTAGATAAATAAATACTGATAACTCATCATAGAAAGAGGATAATTTTGGAGAGGCACCAATAACTCTTATTCACTTAAAGATAGTAGAGTATTGGGTTGGACAGCCGTAAACATATCTGCTACTTTCCTGATTCCTGATGATCTGATCTGGAGTTCAGAATGAAAGTGATCAATACACTACATCATCTCCCTACTGTTTTTTTCCTCACAGAGAGAGTTCAGCATCTATTAGTTGTTCTCCCGCCTTTCTCCTTTTTAACCTTTATCTTCTCTCTAACGAAATTCTCTATTGGTCCGATTTTAAAGGTGAATTCTCAATAGCATGTTCCACCAAGTGAAAACGCTTCTCGTGCAGAAACAATCTTAAGCCCTCTAGGCTTGTCACCACTTTTTCAAGAGGTTATACTTTAGTCTGCAGATACTGCTGTGTAAGATTAACTTACTCCAGCGGCGTAGCGTGGGTATTGGCCGCCCGGGGCGGAAGACAATTTTGCCGCCCTCTTATTTAGGTATTTCAATTTAAAGTATACTAT